ATTGCAGAGGTGGATCCTAGTGGTACAGTAAAACCTCCAGACTTAGAACCTGAATTTCAAGAACCTGTTCAGCTAAAATAAAATTATGCCAGATGAGCCCCCTCTATATAAAAACCTGTTTAGCCTAAAATTTGAAACAGGTTCTTATTTTTGAAATCTATGAAAAAATTCTGTACACTTGAGCAGAGATAAATCAACATTTAGAGTCTTCTTTGGAGACAAAGCTGTCTTATCACTCCAACTGCAATGTAAATGCCGATGTTTAAATTTAAATACATTCCTCTTTTTATGTCCATTCTCACATAACTTCTAATTTGGTATGCAGACTTTATATGAGGAATAAGGTGAAACACAAATACTCTTAGCCACATTTTTACTTCAGAAAATATGAACCCATTTAAAAACCTAAATAGCCTAAACTTGTGCTAACTACTATTTATATAAGAATCTGTTTAGGCTTACTTAGTTAATTCAGGTTCTTAGTCTCATGATTTTACTGCCCCATTGTTCCACTTTTTCTATTTCCTTTCCCTGTCACCATTTTTTCAGCCTTGGTTTTCCAATATCAAAAGCAGATTCAATGATCAAGCAATTTATATTTTAACTAAAGCCACCAAAATATGCAAATTGTTTGATATATATTAAACAGTGTAAACGGGTAAACAGATTGAACGACATCACTTAGCCTGTGTGGCAGGCATTTCAAAGAAAAGGGAAAGTGGGTCTTAGTGCAAGAGAAATGTGAGGGAAGGAGGGAGGGAAATGCCTGCCATACAGGAGACTAATTGTTTTTTGCATTATAAACATCAACCAGGTGAATGTTGAAATCACTCCCTCCTTCCTCGTACACTCTTCGCATTTCTCTTGTGCCCAAAACCCTCTCCCTTTCCTTTTAAATGCCTGCTATGGAGGCTAATCACCACTGAATAAAACAGGGACTAGGCAAGAAACTGACAAAGTCATAACATCCACACAACAACACACACCAATCTTGGAAGTAGATTGCTGGTTTCAAAATGCACAGGGCTAAACTGTATAATCAAACTTATCTTTTAATTTAATACCTGTAATTCTAATCCTACTGATTTTATACCTGCATAAAGAGAGTCACATGTATGACTGCAATTTTATTATGCTTTTTTAGTCCTATTACAAAAACAGACATTCCTACATCAGAGTACTCATCACCCTATTTATATACCAGTTTCGAACATTTTATGCTTACCTAATGCTATTGTTTGGAGGAACCAGTCGCCGCTGCCCCGCTATTTTGTGATCAGCTTGTGATTACAACAGTAACACTTCCAGTAACATGTCACATTGGTCTTCGCGAGGCTTCATTTTTCCATGAAAACATGCCGGTTTCAATTCGGAAAAAGTATCACAAAACGTGGGGCGCGTTGGGGAGCGATAAAAAATTAGCGTAGAACAAGGTTTGTAGAAACACTTACAACTATCTTCTACTTTCGACGGGCAATATAATGGAAATTATAGCCTCTTAAAAACCGGGTTCAAATTTCACGCTCTTACAGGAGGAATCTTCGGGCTCCACGTTTTAGATTGAAATGAAGAACATTGATTTGTTTTTCTTCACAGAAAAAATCTAAACAAATATTAGCTTGTGAAATCGAGAAAAACTATCTAAGGAAAGAACTGCATCTATTGAAAAATAAAGCATATAACCTGCGAAATTTCTCGACCTTCGCCGCCATCTTGAAAATTTTGAATCCACAATGCATCGCAGTCGTAGTGCGCACACCGCCTGCGTGAAAGTAGAACGCGCGGGTCACTGAAACAACAGACAAAAATAACCTTCGCAGCACGCGCGCGAATCTCTCTTAGCCTCTCACGCAGGCGTTTTTAGGGGAGCTCATTTTTCATCTCTCCCACAAACGCCTACTCAACCGAAGACAACATTTCTTTCCCGTTGTTTTATTTGCGTGGTAAGTGACCAATCAACAGTTTTGAAATAAAGTGTTGAAAGACTAAACACGACTAAAATGTGACCTTAGAGTTACCGTTTTCCTTCTATTCTTTCCTTCGCTAAGGTTATGGAGTGCCTGGAGTATTTCAAAATTAGACTAAATCTTACTTTTGCCGCTCTTAATCTAACATTTACCAGAGGTCAGAAAGCTTTCCCAATATTTCATGCAGATCGAGTACCTTGCGGTCAACTTTTGTTCTCGGTTGAGCTGGCGTTTGTGGGGAGGGATGAAAAACGAGCTCCCCTAAAAATGCCTGCGTGGGAGGCTAATTCTCTCTTGCAAAGAGGTAATTCATAATTTTAAAAATCACATTTTGGTCACGTGACCAGCTACGAACTTACTCATTTTAAGAAAATGATCCGGGTTTGAAAAACCAAATAACTATTATTTTGTTTAAGATATGACCCCTTAATCGTTTTTCGAAGGCAAAATCATATAACTTTCTCATTCATAAAAACGATGTCACATGACCTCTTAGTGCAAATGGCCTATTTGGGGCTAAATTGACCTTTGCATCGGGGCCAAATTAGACCATGTAAAGGGTCAATACGGAAAACACCAGAGCCAGTTGGTTTTTCCAGTAGCCAAAACAGCCCCCTCAAATTTTGGCCCTCTTAAAAACTACCCCTCCAAAAGTAGCCGATTCAGCCCCATGTCGGGCCATTATGGTTTTTTTTTAATTTGGGTCGGGGCCTACAGACTTTTTCCCTTCATTAGGTGTTGACAAATAATGAAACCAAACTAAGGCTTATTTCAAACATTTATTCAGTTCTGAATAAGTTACTGTGATCTGTGTACATCATAACAACGCGTATTCCAATCTATTTCTGTAACATTATCTTCGGTTAATCTCAACCTTTCTAGATTAGAATTATTGGAGGAATTAAATTGGCCAAGAGAGACACTTGTCTTCGGCGCAATCAAAGTAACTACTTCTTAAAACGGTTTTCGCAAAAGACAAAGTCAAAATCATAATCAGCATCATAGGAACAGTTAAAACCTATAGTGAAAATCAAAAATTGGAGTTGTAAAGGGTTTCGTTTATTACAGCTCACCAGAATTGGAGTCAGTTAATGTTTCTTTTATAACTACCCTTTTGACAAAAGAAAAAGAAAAAGAAAAAGAAAAGAAAAGGATTGTCAGAGTTGGTCAAGTTCTCCTGCTAACAATTCCGACAATGTATATTAGATTGAAGCAAAAGAGTTGTAAGAGCAATAATGAACTAAGATGCTTTAGCTATATCAATTCTCAAGCTTCTGATTATGACTCCGACCCTCGGACCCCTCCTCAAAGTTCTTGATATGTCTCAGTATTTCGAAAAGATTTTACCTTCAGTGGAAAGCATTTGATCTTCCCTACAGGACGAGGTATATTCTATAGGCGGCAGCGCTGCTGGAGGCCTCTGTCGTCATCAAACATAGTGGCCATCTTGTATTTTACCAAGAATAAGAAATCGGGTAAAAGAGGCGAGAATTGGTAATCTTTTGTGCTTGACATGTAGAATAACACATAAATAAGCAATTCGCTTCATTTTATCCCAAGATTTACTTTTATCATTGAAAAACGTTTATTTTAAAAAAAAGGTGAAAAAATATGCATTTTCTCTCAAAATGCTTGACCACCTGCTACATATGACGTCATACAGTAACCATAACAACTGATCATCACTAAACTTGTATCAAATGCGCGTCAGGGATAAACAAACACCTGTACTGAAAACTTCAGGTGCTAATGATTAATCGTCTGGGAAAAGAAAGTCAGAAAATTGGGGGTGGCTTCCAGCCCTGCCTTGTACGTAATGATAGACCCCTCCTGGTTAGATGGATCTGTAATAAGCGCTGGTCTGCAGAGCAGGAGACGTGGTCTCAAACCCCAGCCGGATCAAGACTCAGAATCCTGAAATAACGATGTGCTTTCTTTGTCCTGACATGTAAAAATTGTTAACATGAGGGTGCATAGCATTTACACAAACCACCGGGGAGGAAATCTTGTGCATAAAAATAAAACTATAAAATTTTAGGTAATGGGAGAATGACCAGTTACAAAGTACATCCAGATAAGCTAAAAAGACTAAAAAACTGGAAATATTCCATCGCCTGAAATCTAAGCCCATACTTTCTGAAATTTCCCAAAGGGAATGGCGCGAACCATTTGAATTTTCCAACGGCAATTTCCGTTTTTTCCATGTAAATTGTAGGTACCCTAGTAGTCTTTCTGACCTCTTTCACTGTATGATTCTTGACTTTTGAGAGGTAAAACACTGCTTTTGTTAAAAATTAGGGAAGGTAGACCCTGATGGTGTGGTCAACCTTTACAACATGTGTGTGTCTATGTGTGTGTGTAGAGTTATATAACCTGCTTTACCGAAAAAAGAAATGATGACGAAGAAGGGTCTAGCCTCTCAAAAAAGCAGGTCTGCTCTGCTGTTGCCTACCCGGGGCCCAAAGACCCCCTTAGTCTCATGAGTAAAAGTGTTATTCCATGAGTGTATGGCCAGAACTGGTAACGAAAGTTGCATATAACAATTTTTATATTTCACAAGGGATTTTTTTGGCGAGATGTTACATGGGAGTTTTGTCTCTTATTGTTTTGTATTTCTGACACGCGTACCAGGTGCAGCTTACTTACCGTAGATAGTTAAGAGCACTATTAATTGATAACACGCATCACTCAAATTAACTGTAACTTGTTTATCAGGATAGTAAATGAAGAAAGCTGCATGCATTTCCAAAAAGGAAAAAAATACGAGCTTTGGTTTATCCGCCACAGCCGCTATGTGATGAATGAAAATACAAGGTTACAATGTTTAAGAACGTTATTTTCTTTCGGACGACTTAACAAATATCTTCGGCGTTTGAATACAAATTGTCGAAGTCTTCGTCACCCCCTACCCCCAAACTCCGTTTCCCCAGTCCTAAAAATAGCTCTTATATTGAGGTTAGATGTAACATTATAAATGTTGCCCATCTGGATTACTTTTACGTTTACTGCTAACAGGTTTAAGTCACATCTCTCTCAAGTGAACTCCTGGATCAAAAGCTGGCTTTGGTCATCAAGTGGTTGCGCTCTCAATTCAAGGAACCTGAGACAATGTAGACAGCTGATAACCTTCATTTTTACATCAACGAATGCTTTCTGAAGGAAATGGTGGCAAAGTGTCAGACACGAACGCATGGTTTTGCAGAGAAGCGATGCATAGGTAATTCCTTTACCTAGAAAAGGAAGCATAAAAACATAACCCAAAATTGTATAAATGTAAAAGCTTAAAAATTTCTGTATGAAAAGCTTGAAAAAAATTGAAGAAGGATTAGATTCAGCGAAAGCAAGGTGAAAGAGACTATTATTAATGTTAGGAACCATCTTTGTCATTCGAATTTTTGAGAGTAAAAGAAATATAGTAAACACCCGCTAATAAGAAATTGCAGATTAAGAACCTCCTGGCAGAAATTTGCCACTTTAACACCCATATTTTGAAGTAGAGTAAACAGATGAACAATTAGATTTGCGTTACATAAGTTAGGGAGAGGTTCCCTTATAGTTTCAAAAACTGTGGATGTTGTAATATAACAAAAAAGACTTACCCAAAGCGATCAGAATTATGGAACTGTTAAGGACGACAAATAGGATGTTAATGATAAGTGAATCACCTCCTTCATGATCTTTTGTGCCATCGCAGCCACTGTACATCGCTCCAAGACACACATCAAAGAAAATAACCCACAGCACAAATGTTTGCAGTCGGTCTTCAAACTTGCCTTTTATTGGACGGAAAAGGGTATAAGCTACACCAAATACACTGACGACTAGTAGAGTCAGACCAATTTGGATAACACCATCTGAACCAAAAAGGAAGATAAACGAGATTAGTGTCAGTTTGCGGTACATCTCTGTTATCTCCCAATACCAGAATTTATCCTTATAGTTTTCATAAAATACTTTCATTCCAAAGGCAATTTCTTCTTGAAACTGCGATCTGCGGCACTTGCAAATGAAAAGCAATGCTAGTAAGGGAAATCCAATGGGGTACAAGGAAAACATGGTAGCGACTGGCCAGTACATCTTGTGTCGGGCAGTAAAGCATTGGAGGGAGTAATCAGCTTTCAGTAAAGAGGTGCAATGGTTTCTGTTATCTGTGAAGCAATGCGTCACACATGCCCCTGGAAGAGGAATTATTTGGATGATTGTTTTACTTGTCATGGGATATGATGCCAGCAGAAAGAGGAAAATGTTCCGGTAGCAGGATTTCTTCAGGCGAGAAACTGCACGTAGTTTTTGGCTGTCGGGACAATCGTTCTTCTTGATGATGTATATTTTTTTCAGGATGATGTAGCAAAGAATAGTACAAACGACAGAAAAATTAATGGAAAGAACCAGGACGAATTTTGAAAAAGCATCTAGTCGTAGTTGATAATAGATACAGCTTAACGGTGCAAATTGAAAAATATTTCCTTCAACCACTTTCAGAAATTTTTCCATGGGGATTAAAGCTACCGGCCACTTCACTCTCGCCAAGGATGTAAAAATACCCGAGATGACTTGATAAAATCCAATAACGATTTTGAAACACGACATGATGACATCTGCGATAGTACGATTATTTTCGGTTTGTTTTGAGTCGCCCCAAAAAACCATCAGAAATACGACAACAAAAGAAAGGACTATCAAAATGGATGAAACGATAACAACTGCAAATCGTGGACATTTTAAGCATGTGTTAAATCTTAGGTAGTAGCCATTTCTGCACGTTGCACATAAGTCTCCTTTGTATCCTTCAGTGCACTCTGAGTCAATTCCACCCTTGCAAGACCCAGCATACGGACATTTCACTGGCTTTGGAAGTGGAATGGTAAATCTGGAGTAGACATGATTGTAATCGGGTTCGTATGAATGGATGTTCTGCACGAAATTCTCATAAAAGTTGCTGTTACTTTGATTGGTCCACTTCCAGAAATAGTTAGGTGCAAGTATTGCTGTGTCCTTGACGCAGTTGATGCCGTGAGCTGGACATTCTGAGCATGGACCAAAACGATCCATACGGTAAAAGCCCGGAAGGCATCTGCATGCACGATAACCGGCAGTTTCATTGGAAAGCGTACCTGTTAAATACAACAAAAAACAGCAACATTTATTAAATTTAAGATGTCTAAAAAATCAAACCTTGCTGTTTTTCTGAATGTTAGTGCTGATCGGCGCGGATACGATGATAACAAAAAAGGAAGAAGGATGGCTTTCCTTTAATCTTCTTCAGTTAAATTCCAATAGCACAGGCTATTCGTAATAATGGATGGACTAACTAGGCCTAAAGGTTGATTTCCACTGACGCGTTTTTGGCCGCTACGCACGTTAACGTACATACGTAAATTTTAATCAGGTAAATAAAATAGAGGCAAGATAAAAAGCGCCGAGCTTAAACGATAAGTTAAGTGAGATTCAACTTTTACGTTTACTAGCGACCTTTCATGCATAGCCTCTATTTTATTTGCGCCCTTAATTTTGAGACTTACAAACAAAAGCTTAGAGGTGGATTTCCAATGTCGCGTTATTTCTAAGTGCGCAAATAAAACAGAGGAAATGTATTAAAGTTCGTGCGTAAAAAACGTAAAAGTTGAATGAGGTTCAACGTTTACGTTCACGCTCGACCTTTCGTATATTACCTCTATTTTATCTGTGACCATAATTTTACTCGTGAACACACGTTAATTGTTAATCACGTAATGAAATAATAATAACTTTAATAGTAACATCCTCGTGAGGTTTTTCAGGAACTATGTCTGCCTCAATTGTGTGTCTTTCAGGGCGCGCTTGAAAGATGCCAATGAGGCACTTTGCCTAAGTTCATTATGCAAGTTATTCCATGTGTAGGCCCCTCTGTAGGAAAATGTGCGCTGGGCTATAGCCGTTCTGTATAGCAGAATCTGCAAAGAGTTCCGTATACGAGTGTTACGAGTATGTATATTTGAGCGCTTGGTAAACTTGCTCGTTAAGTATTGAGGCGCAAGATCGTTCTGACATTTAAAGGTCAAAACGGAGTCTCTATAGAATAATTGTTCTTTAACAGGAGGCCAGTTTAGCTCTCGAAGCAAAGGTGTCAAAATGTTGAGAGTGAAGACGTGAAGTTGATCGAGGTTCAACTTTTACGTTTACGTGCGACCTTTCATACATTGCCTCAATTTTAAATGCGAACGCAAATGTTACGCACGTAAGGACGTAAAAACTTGGTGACAGTGGAAATCAACCATTCGCAGTTAAATGTCCAAAGTACGGGTTTACTAAAATGTGTTCTCAAAGACCCAGAAGTGGTCAGTCGGGTCGGGAAAAACGGCTGGGAACTTCTTAAAAACTTTCGCCTCCGTTTTTTCCCGACCTGACTGACCACTTCTGGGTCTCCGAGGATGGTTCATGTCGAGTTTTCGAACTTTGAGTCCAGTTTCGCGTAAAACAACACATGATTTCTACTGTTCGACACATTTCCCTTTCTTGTCATTGGTTGAGCCGATTGGTTTGTTATGTAAGAAACTGGAAAATTAAATTACCCTAACCCTAAACCAAATAAGCTAAACATTGTTTAGCAGCAGGAGCAATAAAAAAGCTTTAAAGCTTTTAAGGCTTAAACTGCTGTAAAAAAAGCAATTCATGGCAAATTGCTTCTTACGAGTTATTGGTCGTGTTAGACCTAGTCACAAACTTCGTAAGAAACTAGCCAATCCAAAACGTTGAATTATTTACTGGCGACTCTACAGACGCTCTATTAAAGAAGGTTTGAGATTGTCTGCGACGCAGGCAATTAAAATTTCCTCAAGGCCATTTCACTTTGGTAAAACTTTTCCGAGTTTCATAATCTGTAATTTTTCGAAGAATTTGAAACGCATGATTTTATTAGAATTCCAGAAACTTTGGGTCATGTACCAGCTGCTCAGAAGAGAAGCCACCAATGGGGCCTAACCATGACCCCAAACAATACTAAAACAATTGAACGAATGACATGTCATTGTTTCCTGTGATCAATTAGGAGAGACCTTACGAGCAGCTCCTACACAACTCGAAACTTTCGATGAACGTATGACTATCTCTAAACAGTTCTGACGCGTATGGCCATTGCAAATGTCCGAAAGCATTTCATGTACCTCATATTTTAAGTGCTGCCCCAGTACAGGCTTCATGGACAAAAATAAGTCATTAAAAGTACACATCATTTTACAACGTAGTTAATGAAATGCGCTCACTGCAAAAACGTTGTTCAATGTACTTCATGAAATGCGCTCAATTGCAAAAACGTTGTCACAGAAAAATGGAAAAAAAAAATGCCAGTTAGGAATTTTTTGGGCTAATAAGCTTAATAAATTCATTCGCATCATACGTACATGGACTTCGTATTTGCCTTTTGGAGACTGTTATTTACCGTTATTTAAAATAATAATAATAAATTCCTGCGTGGAAATGAAACGGCTGCTAATGAACCCACCCTTAAGATGTGGCTTATTCATTCCTATTTTCTAAGAGTAGACAACGTTATTGCAATTTGGTGTGTACTAAAAGAAATAAATAAAGAAAGAAAGAAAGAAAGAAAGAAAGAAAGAAAGAAAGGAAGACTGGTGAAATTCCAAAAGACAGAATTTGCAGCGATCAATATATTTCAGATATTTTACTGATTTGGAAACCAGGTTTTTAGAAATGATGATGGTGGAGAGATACTTGGGAGCTTAAGCAAATACGACGGCGAAGAGCAATGAAAACGTCACTACAAATAAATAATCGCGCGTCCTTAACTTCGCTCAACTGGTCAAATGTAGGTGAATCTTTCCAAATTTTAAATTCTTAAGGATTTTTCTTAATTTAAAAAAACAAAGGAAAATTTGTTGTCTTGTGTTCACGTCGTCTATAAGAAGTCCCATTATAGGAACTTTAACCTCGTAATTGACGTTCCCGTACGTCGTAATGATTGCTTTTAGCTCCCTGGCAGCGGATGTCCACGTCGGTTGTTACCGTATGGGCATGCTTTACAGGCAGCAGCACTTGTGCCGGGATGTAGTTCCTTTGAGACGTAAGTCCCTAAGCTGCATCGCTTGCAGTCTATCCGCCCCATTTCATCTTGGTAGAAACCTCCTAATTTATATAGTAGAAAGGATAAAAGCATTTGAACTTTCTGCATGGAACTGCAAAGAAACATAAACCTTTTTTGTGATTTAGTTTACAGGGTAAGTATAAGCAAAGATTTGGGTGTTATTTATTGTCCACTACCCACGGCGGCCTTCGACGAGTAAAATGAAACAAAAGTGAGAAAAACCTGGTTCCTAAAATGAAGTTAGAGCGAAAAACATGATCTTATACAGGCTTTCTCTCCGCCCGAATAGTCGTTTTGCAAAAATAGCATCTAGTCGTAGTTGATAATAGATATACAGCTTAACGGTGGAAATTGAAAAATACTTCTTTCAACCACTTTCAGAAATTTTTCCATGGGGATCAAAGTTACTGGCCACTTCACTCTCGCCAACGCTTTGAAAATACCCGAGATGACTTGTTAAAATCCAATAATGATTTTGAAACACGATACAGTGACATCCGCGAAGGTTTGGTTGCCGTATCTTGGGCGGTTTCAAATGAGAAAGAGGGGTTCCGAAGCACCCCTCAAGGCCGAAGGAAGTGGTTAAAGGTTTATGAATCAGTTGCTCGGAAATTGATCGTTGATTATCAGCAAGATGCATGTAACCAAGGGCAAAGACGCTTGCGATATTTCATGGCCATTCTTTTTCAAAAATCTCTCACGACGTTTGCATATCTTATTCAAATCTACAGAGGGAGTGAACGTTCACAAAATACGAAAACACAATTTCTCGCACCGATAGATTATCTAGATGGATTTTAATTAGTAAGATTTGTATTTAGTCTTTCTTGCGTAAGCAGAGACTCATAATCTACAAGCCCATTTTTTTTCTCCCTGTTACACAAAAGTCATGTTCCCAGGCCTTCCTAGCAGAGACCGTGGAAACTGGGAATAAGAATCGTTGCGTGACCGAAGCCAAACTTGTTTTGCGAAGAGTAATGCGAATTAGAGCTTTTCCGGTAAGGGTTGGTCCACGAATTCTATCGCCTGAACGTGCTCATTATTACTTTGGAACAAGTGAACACTTCAGTGGTCGAAAAAAAGAACGATCTTAATTAGCAAGACTTCGATGGTTAGTGTTGCAAGTTTTCATTGTATGCAAATGCCGGAGTCTTGTGATGAGCATGCTGTTTATTTTCGGTGATGATTGAAGTGACGCGCCATGTTCTTTGCGCGCTTTTTATTTCTGGCAAGCTCTTCGACCGTACACGTATTTCTGGTCGTCGCTAACACGTGTACTAAACCAGTTCAAAAACAACTCGTCGAATACGATACAAAAAGTAAATATCCTAAAGAATACTCAACCGCCGATAATGTAGAAAGTGAAAAAGCCTTTGGCGTGTAAATCTTGTTTTGTGTAGAATTAATCGCCTCCTCATGTCTTATCTAATCTCCAAGCAAGCGAGACTACGCGCCGCCGTAAAGAGCGTTTTTGTTAACATTAATTCAAACGGGGCGTTATTGCTTTCTGAGACCAGTGTACTCATAATTTCAACATCTAGCCACAACTTAATTGACACAATGACGTAATTCGACGTAATTATGACTCCATGATCCAAATGAAAAATATTGAATAAGCATGGCTGTCAAACGTCGGTTGTTATGGAAATTAAACTTAAGCGGAGTGACATAAGGAAGGTCGCTTAGTTTGTTGGTGGTAGCTTTTGAATTTATTCAACTTTTTTGTAAGGGGAAGGGGGTTCTCCCAGGGCTCGAAAGGGTTTAATGATCCACATGGCACTAAAAACAAGTATACTTATGTTTCTCACATATTTCACATACCTGCAGGACAAGCATTGCAAACGTCGTTTTGAGCATATAATCCAGCTGTACATAAAGTACAATTATGGCAAAAACCGTCAATCGGAGAAAATGCACGGTGACAGGGGCGGCAAACAAACCCTGAACGCCTAAAGCCCCTCCTAAAGTTATTAACTTCATTGCCAAGACGCACATAAAAACTTGTTGATGGCGCACAGTCGCTGAAATAAGAAACACATCAATCATATCAGTAAAGATCATCAAGATAGATAACAAGTCAAGCATACCTGAATCATGATATTCTTTGATTTCTTTTTTCAATAGAAAATTCATGCATTATTTTACTACGGTTATATTCCCCATCATTTCCTCAGTATAAATATTCTATCGTTAATCATTCCTGTCCTTTTTTGTTTGGCTTAAATCCCCACCCTAATTGCTCATAATCGTTAAGGAAATTTGGGAGGTTTTTCGCCAAGATCGCGACAGTAGAAGTCGCGGTAGCTAAACTGTTTTGACAGAGCTGGAGAAAAGAGGGAAGATCTGATACGTTTTTCGAACAAGATGTAGCAATAAAACTACTGCCTATAAACATGGCAAGAATAGTAAATAATGCCGAAAGACGGGTAATTCCTGCTATTTAAGAATTAGTATAATTACATTGATGATTATCGAAAATTGAGCGCTGTGATCTGCGCATGCTAGGAGCTTCGCTTCATCCCGCTACAATCACCGCGCGGTGATTATAACATTGAAGGCCAACAGTTTTCAATAAGGCAGCCAGTTTTGTTGATGTTTCGGAGTCGGAATTTGATCAATTTAAAGAAAATGCTGTTCTCAAAAAACAAAAGAATGGGATGCTACAATCAATCAAGCTATTCAAAGGTTTTAAAAGGTAGGTTAATAAAATTTCTCTTTTGCAAGTAACACGATTTACTGAAAACTGGTATGTTTGTTTACTTTTTTTTGCTTCAAAGTGTCGGGAACTTTTAGTAACTTTTGCGAAATTATTTGACGGGGGTTCTACAGAATGGTTTCAACAGCTGCAAGAGTTCTCAAATGAAATAGAAAACATGGAAGTCGCTGAATTAAAAAACTGTTTGGCAAAATTTTGCGTTTCCGTGAGGAAAACCGACGGGCAAGGTATTATAAGAAAACCAGCATGTTGTCGATCAGAGCGGGAGTAACTATTAATAGTCGTGGGTCGTGGGTACAAACTCGTAGGTCGTCGGTGGTGGGTGCAAAGTCGTGGGTCGTGGGTGCAAAGTCGTGGGGTGCGGGTGAAAAGTCGGTTGTCCCCCTAGTTCTGTGAGGTTTTGAGAGACAATCCTTTCTACTGAGTAATATTAAATAAATAAAAAATTGTGATAATTACTACACCCCCAGTTCTACACCAAAAGTCCAATTTTGAAACTAGTAACAACAATGAAATTAATTACCTGAAAGTAACGTATAGTGCGAAAATTACCACTTAAGTCACTTAAGAATCAACGTGCGCGCTTTGTCGGGTTATTTACTGTGAAGTTTCCTCAGGACCGAGTTCGCTTTCCCTTTTCCGCGCTGACTCTGTTTCAAGGTCTGTTCACTCTGCCCCTGATGAGAATGACAGACCTTCTGAGCAGACTATAACTTTTAAATTACCACCAGTCTATGTTCCTGTTTACATTAGTGAGCTCGCTAGAACTTAATAACAGTATAACAGTATGACAGTTGCTAAATGAGTGTTTACCACTTACTTTATGCTACACATTCAAAAAACAAATCTAACGTATTTGTGGCTATTTGCCCCGCTTAATGATCTAATGTGTGGTCATTGAACTAGTGGAGTGGTTATTGAACTGTTGTGTAGATGTTGAACTAACAAAAAAGCCCTTTTGTGAAATTCATCTTTTAAATCATGCATGATTCAAAGAAAGATTAAGACAAGTTTCGAGATAGAATCACAAATGACTCTTGACGTTGTTAAGTTGAGACAGTTTCGTATATACGGTACCAGAGTTCAAAGATTTTCACACGTTCTTGTTAAATTGATCCGTTATTATGATTGGTACAGGCTGATAGTTGACTTTCACAAAAAAAAAATCACCAAAAAGAGACATTTTTCTCGTTCCTGTGTTGCGTTAAACACTCTTTGAAATCCCCTTTTTTACGTGGATGGAGACTACTTCTTTAAACGTTGCATCACTGGATGCAATTCGATTTTTTTAAGTGTAGCTGTGTGGTAATTTTCGAAGTAGAAGTTACTTTCGGGTAATTAATTTCATTGTTGTCAATATCGTTGTTACTCGTTTCAGAACTAGACTTTTGGTGTAGAGCTAGGGCGTTGTATTGTTCTCAATTATCGCAACTTTTTATTTATTTAATATTACCCCCTAGAAAGGATTGTCCTTGAAAACCCCACGGAACTAGGAAGACAACCCACGACTTTGCACCCGCGACCTGGTACCCACAACCCACGACTTTGCACCCACGACCCACGACTTTGTACCCACGACCCACGACCTGGTACACACGACCCACGACTATTAGTTACTCCCGATCAGAGCCAACCTCGACCGACATCTTGAAGCCCCAAAATCTTTCAAAAATATGTCTCTTTTTTATTTTATTTTCTCGAATAATCATCAAATGAATGTAATTATACTAAAGCAATTAGTCGCTGAAGGTGACGTGAACATCGGCGAACAGTCACCTCGACTTCGTCTCGATGACTATTCGCCGATATTCACGTCGCCTTCGGCGACTAATTGTTAAATAGTTGCTACTCTAACTACACCTTTATCTACACTTTTTTACATAACAGCATTTTTTTATAAAAACGATTTTGACGTTTTTATTAAGAACATGTTAAGAATAAACCTGAGGCTCAGAAAAGAACAATTATTTATATTTCACTGTTTTTACTTTCCTAAATCTAGATAATTGTTATGAAATAATGTCCTGCAGCCCTACATGGAATCAGAGTGCAAGTAAAAGTTTGTTAGTTCAACACATTCCTTTTGTTTATGGTCAATATAATACTTTCACATCGTACTTGTATAATTCATTAATGTGAAAACTATAGTCATTGTCCTGTCTTGTCTATATGTGGTTTAAATCTACCAGAAATTTAGAACATCTGTAAGAACATTTCCAGGCTGAAACTGCCCAGAAAATAAGAACTGTCGAGGCTCAACTCGAATATAGAAAAAAGAATGTATGTTAAAACCTGTCAGGAAAAGGCAGAAGTTAGCTTTATTAGCTTTTATTAAGGTATAATCCATAAAAAAAATTCAAAATATTTTCGAAGTTTGCAATTTTAAGATGATTAGGTAGAGCTCATTGAGAACTTTCTTTCAACAACAACAAAAACAAATCCAGAAAAAATATTATTTCTGAGGAGATTCATGAAGCGCCAAGGAATTTTTCGATATTTACTTTTTTAATTGATTGTTGAAAAGTTCTACCACACATACCGCGCACACCAGTCAAAGCCGGATAATCACGCAATTCACCACTATATACGAGAAATCGTGTCGTACAACGCCCTTTCTACGCTGCAAAAACTCCCTATTGTAAGTTGTTATCCAGAAAGTTTGCTACCATGGTGACAGGACGTCACAAAAGCCGCCGCGTTACGATTTAATCAACTAGATTACTGCGTGCTCCCTCGGGAAGCAGTCTAGTGGTCCTTTACGGTCCCCAGGGAAATTCCCTAGGCCTTTTATACGCCCTAGCAAACAAATTCACCGTCTTCTCGCAAGTCTACTCTACAACGGGCAAGCAAGTTTCATTCTTCCGCAACGCGACCAGCGCCACTGAAGCTCTTTCATGGCTCTCGTCCCTTTTTAACCAGACCCAGCTGATGCGGTAGCTATTGCTTCGACAGAACCTCAACCAGCACCAACACCATCCACCTAAGTATCATGTTTTAATTTCTCGCTTCCCCCTTTTCTTGTCAATTTGTCACATACGTGGCGTTTATCTTTTTCACCATTCTGTTCTGGAGTTTGTTTACGTTAGCGCTCTTAGGCGTCTGTGCGACGTACCAGAGGTAAGGCGATCCTTATTTGATTATTGTCGCGTCTTATTCGTCTGTTACAGTAGAACGAAAACGAGCGGGAACATATTTACGTTGGCGCTTCATGGCGTCTGTGAAACGTAAAGGAGAATCTCAACAGTGCAGTTCAGTGGAATGTATTTAATTACGTTGGCGCCCTTCGGCGTCTGTGAAACGTATAATGAAGAGAAAGACATTACCTTGACGCTTCTCAGCGTTTGTGAAACGTAAAGGAGGATCCTAGCAGCTCTACTCAGTGGCATGTTTTTAATCAGTTACGTTGGCGCCTTTTGGCGTCTGTGAAACGTACAATCAAGGGATAGACATTACGTTAACGCTTCTTAGCGTTTGTGAAACGTAAACGAAGATCTCACCAACGCAGTTCGGTGGCATGTTTTTAATTTCGTTGTTGCCCTTTAACGTCTGTGAAACGTACTATGACGAACAGACATCTTTGGCTTTACTTCGCGACCGTCCATCGTACATTTGTCTACAGTCTTTGATGCTTTATGGCATTTTACGTGTATGTAAACACACCCCTCATCCAGTCTTCGGACGGTGTCCTGACTCGACTCGACTGTGGGTTCCCTCCCAGCCTCCCTCTTTCGTAGGGTCTTTCCTTCTTTTTATCTCCTCCCATTCGGATTTCTCTAACCGGGTTACACATGCTGCAAGCCACCCTTCAGCTTTCCTTTAGCGTATCCGGGAGGGAAAGCCCCACATTTGGGCCGGGCCACTCCCCTCAATTGAATCCGTCACATCTGGGAGGCATTACGCCAACACTGCCCATCTCTCTAAGGGAGTTTTTCTGGGTTTTTCTGAGTTTCGGGGAGATTTGACTGTACTGCAAGTTAATAAGTTATTCTGCAATAATTTACCGTCTTTTGGATGAGTCTATAGCACCCCTGGTGTCGGGCAAAATTTTTCACCCATAACTTATCCATCAAAAGGCATAAGGTGGCTTTTATGCGAATGTGAATTAATTACTATTCTCATTCGTGTAAAAGCCGCCGCGTTACGATTTAATCAACTAGATTACTGCGTGCTCCCTCGGGAAGCAGTCTAGTGGTCCTTTACGGTCCCCAGGGAAATTCCCTAGGCCTTTTATACGCCCTAGCAAACAAATTCACCGTCTTCTCGCAAGTCTACTCTACAACGGGCAAGCAAGTTTCCCCACCCTCCTCCCCTTCAGCGGCGCTGGCAAATTTTCTCTATCAGCCCACCTTATGCCTTATGCAAAATTTTTCACCCATACCTTATCCATCAAATGGCATAAGGTGGCTTTTATGCGAATGTGAATTAGTTACTATTTTTGACCAACAAGCTGAATTGTACTAAAACAATTATACCTGTCGCCCTCATGGTCTCTGAGTCAATAGCCCATTCGGTCTTCGGTCTTATGGGCTATTGACTCAGAGCCCATTCGGGCTCGAGGAATAATTGTTAACTATAAGGAATATCTTGTTTGACACAAATACTTATCGAGATTAGAGATACAATATTCTTAATATACATACATGACTGAAGAGTATCTCCTTTGAAAAAGAGAAAGTTGTCGAAGGTTTTTGCATGTTAAGGACCTAGAAAAGTATTATGTATAATGAATTTTAAACTGTGCACGATTAAAAGGTATAAGTAGAAAATTCAAGTAAACAAACTTGTCTTTTCAAGATCATAAAATTCCAAGGAAATTAAACTTTTTGTCTTTAACAAGGTTCTTAACTTACACTTTGGCATTGTATGATAATGAATCAAGCAGACCGTAAGGCAATGTTGTTAAGGGATTGTCAAACAGTGTCCTGAAAGGAAAGAATGATCATGAACATGCATCGGTTTTAGCACGAAGTAACTCGAAAAACAATGTGTTATTAACAATTGGGTTAAACAAGAAAGTCAGACATTTTAGTGGAGACAAAGGGTGCTTTCCATTGAACAAAAATTCCGGTTTGAAATTTAGGAAATTTCACGTGCCCAGTGGAACGGTACGGTACATTCGGGCTACAGAGACCCGACCCAAGCCGCCGCGCGTCTGGTTATTGTCCTTGTAAGCAGGGGACAACAATTTTGTCAAATGGAAAGGGACCTTTCGGTGCGACCGACCGGTCAAAGTTGGTCCCGAATATTCCGGGAGGACCAAACCCAAATGGTCTGTTCCATATGATGTACCAACCGAAATTTCCGAAATTTGGGGTTGAATGTAAAGTGCCCAAAATGATCAGAATTTTGATAAATTCGTCGAAAAGCGTACTCTCTAAGCTTTTTTTTGTTTTATCTTTCTTTATGACCAACTCCTTTGGAGTTTTAAAGACTTACACCGGATGGGCCTTGTTCCTTTATGTTTCTAGTTTAACTTAGTAGCTACAACAGAAGTTGAATTGCTCAGGTAAACAGGAAATAACACCACGCAATAAAAAAAAATGTCGGTGGACACATAGTTTTCTAAAGAAATTTTGTAAATATTTTGGTTTTTATTTTCTTACATTCTGATACTTACACTGTTGTCAAGTCGTGAAAGTTGTTGAACGCTTGGTCTCCAATGTGTTTGATCGCATTGCTATGAATAAACCTGAGATAATAAAGCAAATGATATAACCAGTAAAATAGATCATAATTGGCCGTATTCAGACTAGAGACGGATTATCCGTTGGATAATTCGCGTCTCATAGATAATACGTCTTAATTTGAAAATGGAACGGTCTTAATTTTGGATGGACAATCCGCCTTACTTTATCCATCAGTTTTTCCGTCAATTTTGACTGATTTTGAGCATGGATTTCCGTCTCAGACGGAATCCTTCTCTAGTGGGAAAACAGCCATTATTACATAAACACCAATGGAATACTAAGTGAGCTTTTGCGCGAAAAGATGATATCTTTTACATGTGAAAAGTTCACTGTTGCTATGGCTACATACTAAATCGGGCCTTTCGCAGCATAAGAATATTTAAGTGAAAGGGTTTCTAATTACATTGGTGTCTATATAATAAATAGAAAACTGCATGGCCGCTTGGAGATTCGAAATTTCTCTTCTCGTGTTGAAAATATTTCACGAGAGAGCTGCGCTCACTCGTGAAATAATATACACTTAATGTCACATCCCGAGGGAAACAGTTTTGTTTTCCCGAGAGCCCTGATGAAACATCAGTTTCCCGAGGGACCTGACATTAAGTGTTTTCTTATATTTCTAGACTTTCACTTCAACAGCAACAAAACATTAACCGGAGCGAACCAAAACAGTCGACTCGGTACTTATAACAACACAAATTCAATACTAAAAACCACTGAATGAATGGTTTACAAAGTACTCTCCTTATATTATCTGCATCTTTTCCTCCACTAACGGCTGTTTCTCTTCTGGGATAACTTTAAAAATCGTTGCTTTTTGCTTGAGGCTTCGTGTTTTTGTTGTTGTGTTCATTCACGAAAACGAAAACTGGCAGTGTTGGTTTTTCCGGCCTTCTGTCACCCCACTTTCCACCATGTTTTGATCACGTGCTGTAATGTATCCCGAGCGGGCTACACTGCTTAATGTATCACGGTCGGGATACATTTGAGTTTAGTCAAGGCCACGTGACCACAAGAATCAACCAATGGAAGTCCCGTTTAGTTAGGTGAAAGTCTAGGAATATAAGAAGATCCTCTATATCACATAGACTGTAACTGGCCAAAGGAACTGTGAATCTTTAAAAAGGGAAATAACGTTGTAATGTGGACGTTTAAAAGTTCACCAAGTCAATAGCCCGTAAAACAAAATGGAATAATCTGACGGTAATCGTACCACTGAACTCTCCAAGTCACGTGGTATTTTCTTCTCTCTTCTGATTATCTCTCAAATCTAGCATCCGTTACTTAAAAGAGTAAAAAATCAAACACGATCGAAGGATATAATATTTCCGAAGTATACTAGATGTTGTAAGTTGTTGTTGTTTTCTTTTCATGAATGTTTTCTACTAATCTAAACCTTTCTTGTAGTCTTTCTTGTTATTGGAGATAACATGTCATGGACATAGCGTGTATCATTGGCGAAATATGACAAATATGTAACTATCGCAGCTTTTCTAATAAACAGATTAAAAAAAATTTCACTCACAATGATTCCAGACGAGTTTCGGCGAAAACGCCGTCGGGAATAGATGTCAGATTGTTATGGATCATCATCCTTAATGAAAAACAAACAAAACAGACCAAAAACAAAATCAACAAAACAGCGAAAAAACAGTGCGGCCTGCCTGCAAAACTCATAAAGGATGGTGTACTTTTCCTACGACTGACAAAACTAGGAAAAAATAAATCGGAAATTCCTGGCCTTCTATACGGCGTACGGAGGTCGAGGGAGCTTTTAACACTTAAGGTAATGAAAATTAGTGATAAGGCAATGTAAAGGAAGGAAACTTACAATGCGCCTAAGTGAAGAAGACCAGCAAAAGTGCGTCGGTTTATATGAGTGATGCTGTTAAAATTTAAACCCCTAAAAATTGAAGAATAATATATAGATTTAGCCAGGGCTAGAAGCGAAGCTCCCTTTAAAAAACTCATAATTTAAATCAAACAATAAACTTGTAATCCACAGATCAGGGCACATTCATGTGACGTTTGAGGCAAAGGCTAAGTGATTTTAGAGAAAAATAATTTGACAGTCCAAGAGTGAAACAAATTTTACATCGAGTTAATAGTCTTATTTGTACACCCAAAAATAGCAATCATGTTCGATCACAGTAGATTAGGCCTGGAAAACAAATAGACCTATTCGTGTATTGTATTTGCATTAGCTGATGCTCCGTTTGAGAGACCATGGATGATTGGATGACCCCGAAATATAATTTTAAGAAACACGCGCGCCACCATAGTCCTTGGTGGCAGCCAATTTACACGTTGTATTCCTCTGTCTAAAAGGGAGGCCAAAATAAAAAATCAGTCCGGATTTTTTGTGTTCGACAAGTTTACTTTACATGTAAATCTTGGCGACGAATCTGGTGGCGTGTAAACCAGCCTTTTAAACATACTTTTTCTCATCACGTCTCAGGTAAACGCAGTACTATGAGGCCCTTGTTTTTATCATACAGACCTCGGACATAATTTTGTTCTTTTTTGCCCTATTTAAACCTATAATTCTGCAGTTTTTCACAATTCTGCAAGACAAATTGCACTCATTCAATATCCAGGACGATCAAAGCACGCGCTTCCTTTGCACAACAAATTATAGCATTGACCACATTATAAAAGGTTTTCATGAAGAGAATTCCATAATTCCAGGACTTTTCAGTAAGAAAAATCTGGTCCTACGTGATATGCAGGGTAATAATTATGGGCTTTTAGTGAAAACGATTAAAAAATTCCCAAAACCACCTTTTCGGCCAGCCGGACGGGTTCTCACTTTTGACAGGCACCAAATTTGCAGTGCTGATTAATAGAGTTAACGTTTACACTTCAACATGATAGAGAATTTGTTATGTTTAGGTTTTATTTCCCTTTATTTATAAAACTGTTTGATTTGTTATGTGTAATCTCTAAAAGCGAGCTATTTACGCCCGGCGTTTTGAGTATTCCTGCATGCGATGTTTATGTTCCACTGGAAACAACCGGAGCAGCGATAAAAATTGCGAGAGGGACTACTAACAATCAATAAAATAAATATAATTCGGTGAAACAAGTAAAGAGGCAATAAGTTTCATTCACGAAGACAAGTATTGAGAGTAAAGTGTCTCTGAAAATCATGAGTCAGGTAAGCATAAGCTTGTTTATGTTTTAAGCCGGCTTCCCGGTGTTTGCTTTTTTTCAAGATGAACTAGAGGCAAGAATATCGCTCAGAGCTTTCTGTTTACAGCCAAAATCATAACTTAATATTCTTCGGAACCTTCTCTTTGAATTTGCGGTCAAAAAATGTCTAAAGGCTTTTTAAACTTGATACTATTGTAGCTTAGATCATTGCTCGTGTATAACCTTAAGCCCAATAAACCATACGCTCCACTTCAGGAAACCGAAAAAAAATACACATCAAAGACAATAATTTCTCAGGCTTACCAGTGGAGATGTTGCTTTCGAAGGTCATCAAGTGTTCCAGGATCGCTTGAGACTTTTCAACCCTCTTACCCCTCAAGCAAGGGCAAGTGAGTAAGCTCATTTTTGAAAACGATGTCATCCGAAAGCGGATTTCCAATGACTTTGACAAGCGGTGCATTTGTCAAAAAAAGTGCAATAAACAAACCAGCCATGAATTACAGAACAATCTTGATAGCAGCTGTATTTCATTTTGTATATCAAGTAGAAAAAGACAGTTTAAAACATCACAAGATGACACAAAACTCTGTCAGCTTCAGCTATCAGTAAGCAAGTTTCCAGACGCTGCATAAATTTTCCGCATGAACTCACCTGTCAAATTTTGACCAATCAGAACATAAAAATTGGACGTAGAACGTGATCAACGCGTGGCAATCAAAAGCGATTGCCTTCCCTGCATGTAAAAGCCGGTTGAATTTTCGCGTCCGAGGTCAGTTCAAAATCAAAATTTTAAAAGTGCGGCTCATGAACACGACTTCTTTAATATGCATTTTAAACAAATTGATTTTGAGCCTGCGATCATTTGAAAAGCAGCAACTTTTTAAAAGTGCTTCTCAAGAACATGACTTATTTTATATACATTTTAAAAAAATTGAACTTGAGCCTGCGATCATTTGAAAAGTAGCAACTTGTCAGCGGATAACTTCAAAAAAACACTCGAACTCAGTGGGTCGATACCTGAGCCTGCATACGGTCAGTCGATACTGGTCAGCAGAAACACTATTTTGACAGCTGTCAATTAATCAAAACATGGGTGTACAATATCAGGTTGCAGACTCCCATACTAGCTAGAAAGTGTGAGATTAAACATTGGTATGCCTGTGGTGCGGACGGACGGAAGGTCGGGTGGTCGGTATACGGTCACGTGATTACCGAATTTTCTAGGATGGATAGATTTTCTAAGCTATGGGGCTTCGAATTGAGCCCGTAATCAAATAAAATATCAGCGGAAAACTTTAAAAACTACGTGACCTCAATGGATAGAAAAATGAGCCCGCGATACAGTCAGGTGATGATAGTCAGCGTATACTCTAGTTTGATAGCTGTCAATTAACCTTCATTAGAATGGCGAATATTCGAATTAACAGACTACGAGTGTGAGTAAGACATATCAGTGGAAAATGCCAGATCGTCTACCTGAGCGAACCTGAGCCCACGTTATTAGTTTTCTGATAGTCGTCTCCATATGTCCCATTTTGACAGCTGTCAATTGACCTTAATTTGGCTTGCCAATATAATGCACCTATCAATGTAAATCCCGTAGGGGGGGAGTGCGGGCAAGGGGAGGGGATTTGATGCCTGAGACTATCCCCCTGTCGGGCTTTTGATCGTGCGAAGCGACCCCGGGGTCGAGACATTTGACATTGACCGATAGAAGCCTGGTATCAATTCAGAAGCGGTAACCAAGTCCGTTCCTCGAGGCTTTCTGAAAGTCACGCTGTTTGAGAAAGTTATGAAGTTTTCATTTGTTTTAATCGCCATAATCCGTTACTTTACACTGTCATCTAAAGAGGTAATGTCTATTTTGAGAAAGTTTTTATGTTCAAGTTCCCATCTGATTGTAAACCTCGATTGAAATCGAATTCTACCATGAAAGTCAGAGGATTTTTTACAGGTCACTGATCCGACCTGTTCCAACATGTTGAGCCGATGTTATAAAGCATTTTATGTTTCATTAATATAACAGCACGGTCAATCGTCCTGGAGTGATTATGTTGTTCAAAATAAGAGATGCTAGTGGAAAGAGAAAATACTTAATTACAGCAAGTAATTTAACGGAGCTTACGTTAACCTTAAATAAAAGTAGTAAGAACGTACTTTTGAAATGTTCTTTCATTCGTTTTATATAGTATTATAGTATTGTTTGTTTAGATTTTTCCCCTGGGGTGGGGGCTTTTTTGACACTTTTGATTGAACTTTCGTTTCCCACCCTGGGGAATTTGATCAAAAAATTTTAAAATTTGTCAAATCCCCACCCCTTGGCCGCACTTCCCCCACGGGGTTTACATTGATAGGTGCATAACTTTAAACGACTGTCAGCCGACTGACAGCCCTGCCCGGAGTAGTTTCGTTTTTATGTTGAATTGGTAAGTGTGACATATTATATCGGCTTATATGTAGGGGCAAAGCGACTGGTCTTTCATCTGAGCCCGCGAAATGGTCATGTGATAATAGTCAGCGGATGTCTGATTTTGACAGCTGTCAATCTAATCGTACTCATACGGATGGCTTACAAAACTGAAAGGCTAGTCAAGTTGTGCAAGATTTATTGTGACATTTGACATTGGCTTACATGAAGTGTGTGTACGGACGGGCGGACGTACGCTACATACGTCATAACCAAATTTTGTCGGATGGACAGTTTACCAAATTTTGTTACCCATGGTGCTCCGCTGCGCGCGCTTCGCGCGCCGGAGCTCCGCTAAGAATAACGTTTATTAGTGGCGGTTTACACAAATGCTCAAGATCATAAAGTTTTCATCAATCTACTACTAAGTTAATCATATCACATTATTCTTACAGAAGTAATAACGACTGGTATCCACGAAACACATTTTCAGGTAGTGACTGCAGCTTGTTAAATGACAGGTCCCTGCAATGCAATTTGCAATTGTAAATCAGTTTATCATTAAATTGCAAGTGTAGCATTACACATGTATATGTTGTGGTTGAGTTTTATTTCTGGTTTAATTTTTTTTTTCTTTGTTTCAAACTCATTACTAACATTACCATACCCCATAACAAAACAAATATAAGATTTAAACCAAGGTTAAAACTGAACCACGTCATACAATAAACTTGTACTTAAACTTATTATAATATCAGCATAAGGTTTTAAAAGTATGTTTATTCCTTAAGTTTCAGTTTCGCCGCGGAGTTTATCTCAAGGAAGTGATTAGAGCCGGAGGGGTAGTCAACTTTGTGGCAGCAATCTGATCGGATATAGATTAAAGAGGTTAAGGAAATGAAAAAGGTGTTCTGAGTTCCTAAGCACCTAGCAAATAGCCCGGCTGAGTTCTAGTTGTGTGCAGTGTGTGTGTGTGTGTTTGGTCTCGTC